ACTCTTTGAGCCCTGAGCCTCCAGAAGCTCCAAGATTCCTAAGCCACCCGAACCAGCCCATCTCCCAAAGTTCCGAGGCCCCGACACCACCCAAATATCCAGCCCCGAAGAACGCTCCAAGTCCCAAGAAGGGTTTGGGATTTAGGGTATATAGGGTATGGGGTTTAGGGTGCAGGGTTTAGGGTTTAGGGTTTAGGCAAAACAACTAAACCCTATAACATCCTAAATGCCAAGCCTCCTCCATTTCGATGCAACGAGCTTCAGGAGGCAGAGGCACATCAATTCAACGCCAAGCCGGGGGGCCTTGCAGGGTTGTTTGCTGAGTAAACCCTAAACCCTAAACCCTAAACCCTAGGTCCGTTCAAGGGACCAAAGGAGGGACCCTTAAAAGGGAATTCAGGGGTTCTTAAGGGGTTACTTTGGGGCTACTTAAGGACATAGGGGCTATATAAGGTACAGATAGGGGTTATATAGTTTAGGGTCTCGGGTCTCAAGTTTAGGGTTGAGAGTTTAGAGTTTATGGGGTCTAAAGTTTAGGGTTCTGAGAGTTTAGGGTTTAGGCGGTTTAGGCCTTCTACCAGGATGGGCTGCTGTGTATGTTCTGGGGCTGGGCTTCAGGGGGCTTAGGATTTAGAAGTTTGAGGGCTTCAGGCGTTTGGGGTTTTGGGTTTAGGGCTCAGGGTTCAGTAGGGGCTTGAACAGCGACATCCCGAAACGTGAGCCTCTCTGTGCGTCATTCCAAGCCCTAAACCCCGAAGCCCCTAAACCACTAAACCGTTTGACTAAACCCCTGTCTTAAACCCTAAACCCCAAGACCTAAAAACCCCTAAACCCCTAAGCCCCCATCCCTAAACCCCCATCCCTAAGCCCCTAAACCCCTAACACCCACACCCTAAACCCTGAACCTTGAGCCCTAAACCCTCAGGCTTAATATGGCACTAGGCCTCGCGAGCCATGTTCAGAATGGTTTTAGGGTTTAGGGTTTAGGGTTTAGGGTTTAGGTTTAGGGTTTAGGGTTTAGGGTTTAGGGTTTAGGGTTTAGGGTTTAGGGTTTAGGGTTTAGGGTTTAGGGTTTAGGGTTTAGGGTTAGGGTTTAGGGTAGTTTCGTGAGGACCATGCTAGGGATTCCTCTTCTCGGGGAGCTTAGGCATTAGGGGCCGCTCAACTTGCCTTCAAGATGCCCTAAACAGCCCCATTAATCATGAAGGCACTCTTAGACCCTAAACCCAGGCTTAGGGTTTAAGGGTGTAGGGTTTAGGGTTTAGGGTTTAGGGTTTAGGGGTTTAGGGTTTAGGGTACTTGGGGACGAGGTACAAAGCACCCTGTAAGTTGATGTAGCATTGTCGAAAGGCCGCTAAACCCTAAATCGTGAACCTTCAGCCCAAAATCTTAAGTTCAGGTGGCAGTTTGAGGCTGAGGGACTTTAGGGTTGATGGAGTTTAGGGTTTAGGGTTTAGGGTTTAGGGTTTAGGGTTTAGGGTTTAGGGTTTAGGGTTTAGGGTTTAGGGTTTAGGGTTTAGGGTTTAGGGCTAGGGTTTAGGGCTTAGGGCAGTCTAGGGCTGAAGGAACTTAAAATACCTGAAGCTCTACCTAGACCAGCCTACTTGGAAGCCCTTTTTGACCTAGTAAGTAGGGTTAAGGGTTGAGGGTTTAGGGTTTCGGGTTTCGGGTTTAGGGTTTAGGGTTCAGGGTTTAAGGTTTAGGGTTTAGGGTTTAGGGTTAGGGTTTAAGTTAGGTTATGGGGGTTATAAAGAGGTTTCTGGGGGATACCAAGTAGACTTACTTAATCCCAAGGGCTTCCAAGTACAGCTCCCTGAAGTCCTGGGTCGGGTGTACTTGCCCGTGTTTAAAACTTGGGATGTTCCCCCCCTTTTTTCTAGCAGTCCCTAAGAGGGACCATAGTACCCCCGACTACAATCCCCATTAGGGACTGTGAGTATAAGGGGGGAACATCCCCTAAACCCTAAACCCTAAACCCTAAACCCTAAACCCTAAACCCTAAACCCTAAACCCTAAACTATCCCTAATCCCTAAACCCTAAATGCCCCCCCCCCCCCCCCCCCGCCGCTCCTGAAGGCCCTTATCCCAAATATCAAAAGGATGGAAGCACAATGGACTCGAAGGGCGATAAGGCCTCAGAATCCCCCTAGAAAGTGCCCTTTTTTAGGGCTCATATAGGGTATACTATAGCCCATGCAGGCAAGCTTCAATCTCAAACGCCAAAGTTCTACCTTACTCTTCACCCGAAACCCGAAGCCCGAAGCCCTAAACCCCTAAACCCTAAACCCTAAACCCTAAACCCTGAGGTGCTGCTGGATTTGCGAGAATTGGTGTGAGCAACTCGCCTTTGGAGGGGACGGAGCTGGCCGAGGATTTGGGTTTTTGGCTTTTCAGCCGGTCTTGGAGCTTCGAGTGATTAGGGTTTAGGGTTTAGGGTTTAGGGTTCAGGGTTTAGGTTTAGGGTTTAGGCGCATAGGATGTTGAGGGTGAAGCAGTGCTAGGAGTGCCGGCTCCGGGCTTAAAAAGGCGGTTGAAATCAAGTACTGTGGTGAACGATCGCGCCAGAAGGACAAACATCGTCTATGATGGGTTTCGGGTATAGGGTTGCGGGTTCGGGGTTTAGGTTTATTTCGGAACTACTTGGAAGCCCTTTTGACTCGTAGGAAGTAGGGTTGGAAGTTGGGTTATGGGGATGACAAATAGCCTTCCGAAGTCACAAGGGCTTCCAACTGGGACCTGTGAAGACGTGGAAGTGCTGTCCATTCTCATGTGCTCTCAAAGGTACTGTAAATTTCCAGACTTAGACCAAAAAGTGACTATCTGGGCGTTTCCCGAAAATTAGGCATGGATTTTCCCGAATAGTATATACATGCTCTCACCTGGGCTTCTTGCAATTTAGGGGCTGGTGGGTCAGGGCTTTGGGGTTGAGGGGATCAGTTACTCAACTCGAAACCCTAAACTTGTTTGGGACTCGGATGGATTATATACCCTAAACCCGAAACCCTGAACCCTAAACCCTGTAGGGTTGAGGGTGTGCCGCGTCCACCGTCCGGACCTCTTTCCAGTCCTGCCCAGCCGCCATGAGTCTTGAGTTTGAGGATGTTTAGGGTTTAGGGTTTAGGGTTTAGGGTTTAGGGTTTAGGTTTAGGGTTTAGGGTTTAGGTTTAGGGTTTAGGGTTTAGGGTTTAGGGTCCGGAGAGCGGATGGAGCGCCATTATTGGGCTTTGTGTGTTTTTTTGTTCTTATTCGCGTCAAAATTCTTAGCAGAGCCGAGTACTTTGAGGGCCAAGAAGCCTGACCTTTTTTACCAGGGCGTCGCACCGAATCAAGCCTAAACCCTCAACCCTAAACCCTAGGCCCTAAACCCTAGACCCTAAACAGTGAGTTCCAAGGTACAGGGTGAGCTTCTCCCGCGGGAAGAGGACTATCGAGGTGCAAAGCAGAGCTTGCTGGGTTTGGAGCCGTGCCTGAGGTGTTGAGCATGGGCGACTTTCATTGGTTTTTTGATGTTGGCTTTTTGTGTGGGTGTGTGTGTGTGTGTGTGTGTGTGTGTGTGTGGGGGGAGGGGGGGGTGAGGGGCCGATAAACTCTGCATACCCGAAAGCCCTAAACCCTAAACCCGAGCACCCCAAACCCCAAAACCCTAAAGCCCTTCAACCCTGAACCTCTTCTTGTTGATTTGGTCAAAGCCCCGGTTGCTACTGAGCATTGCCTGGCTGTAGCCACCCTGGACCTGGAACCTTGTTAGCCCAGTGGCACCCTTTTCCCGTGGTGTTTTTGTTCTGGGTCCCCTTATCAAGTGGCCAATGCCAAAAGAAGCGCTTTTGGGTTGTTTCCTGTTATGCGAACAGTCCTTTTATAGGGAGTCGAATAAAAGAAACTAGAACCCCTATTAAGGACTGTTCGTATAAGGGGGAACATCCCAAGGTACACTTGTTATAGGATGGTTGCTGAAGGAGCCCCGTTCCTTACTTGGGCTCTTCATGGTAGCTTCTTTTGTTTGGGGTACTTGCGGTTTGGGCACCTGCTTTCTTACCGTCCTGTCCATGGAGTTTGGGGCCCCAAGGAAAGGGAACCACAATCAGGGGTCCATTGTAGAATTGAAACCCTAAACCCTAAACCCTAAACCCTAAACCCTAAACCCTAAACCCTAAACCCTAAACCCTAAACCCTGCAGAACTCGCACTAGAGCAGGCGAACACAATCCATGCCCTCTTCTCCCTGGATGGCTTCGCACGCCCAACGGAGCTGCAAAAGTGTCTTGGCCCCTTCTTTTGTCTTAGGGACTGGGTAGGTAACGGTTCAGGGTTCAGGGTTCAGGGTTCAGGGTTCAGGGTTCAGGGTTTAGGGTTTAGGCTTTAGGGTTTAGGGTTTAGGGTTGAGGTTGAGGGCTTAGGATTTTGGTGAAAATAGGGGTACACGTCTGGGGGCGGGGGGGGGCCTTTTAAGGCTATTCTAATTGAGGGATAAATGTGCTACCCCTATTTCATAATGCCCTTGTAAGGAAGAACATCTAAACACAAATTGGTGGATTCTACAGCAGTCAGTAGAGAACCATTGAACGAACACGGTGCCCTTTTTAAACCGGGGTGAATCTGCGATCTAGTCGGATGTGTCAGTGCAGTTGAGGGTTTAGAGATACTTAGCCTTTGTCTCTCCCACATCCACCGTTGATTGAGATTAGGGTTCAGAGTTCAGGGTTTAGGGTTTAGGGTTATGGCGTGCTCATGCCTTCCCAGCGGCTTTCTTTCAGGTTTTGAGCACACGGGATTGATGTCAGGGTTCGGGCCCCCAGGTCTTTAATGACTATAGGTACCCGAAACCTTAACCAAACTCTAATGAACCCTAAACCCTAAACCCTGATTAAATCCTGTATAATAAACCCAAAGCCCTAATTCCTATATAAACGCTAAACCCAATGAAAACCCCAAACCCTAAACACTAAACCTTTCAATCGCCGCCCTCCTACCAGGTTTGGTCAGCAATGGGTCGGGTCTCGAATGCTGCCGCCGTCGCTGGTTCCCGTGGAGGCCCTGTTTGGTTTTGCGCTTTGGCTTGAAAGGGGTTCATGCCAGCCGTTCTGCCATCTGCTTTAAACCCCAAAGCCCTAAACCCTGTTTATACCAACCAATAACCCCCCCCCCCCCCCCGGGACCCAAGTGTGTTCTATTCTGAGATGTTCCCCTTATACTAACAGTCCTGAGTAGGGTTTCTAGTACCCCTCTTATAATCCCTTGTGAAGGACTATTCGTATACAAGGGGGAGCATCCCCAGTTGCATCCAAGGTGGTGAATGCAACGCTCGGACTCGAGGGAAGCCCCGGCAGGTCATCTTCATCGTGGACGGCACTGTGCAGGTCTCCGATGCTCACGCCATCCGGAAGCTCAGTGTCCGGGCGCCCGATAGGGTTTAGGGTTTAGGGTTTGGGGTTTAGGGTTTAGGGTTTAGGGTTTAGGGTTTAGGGTTTAGGGTTTAGGGTTTAGGGTTTAGGGGTCACCAGAAGCAGCTCCTCAGGGACAGGACCCCGACCCACCCCCAAATGTTGGGATTCGCATGCTTTCTAGCATCATCTGGGCTCTGACCCGAGCTTCGTACGCGCTCAACCCGCTGCCCTCCTTGAACTACAAACCCTGAACCCAGAACCCTAAACTCCTTAAACCCTGCTCAACCTTGACTGCATGAACCCCAACGCAGGCATGATGAATTTTCAGTTTGCTTCCCTATGCTACTTGGAGGATCGTGTCTACGCTGAAGTTTAAGGCCTGGGGTGTAGAGTTGCCCTAAATGCCATAAACTACGCTGAGGGCGCTGAGCCTAAAGTCTAAACCCCAAAGCCCCAACCCTAAACCCCAAAGCCCCAACAACCCTAAATTGTAGGTGTTACAACCCTACAACCCCAAACCCTTAAACCTAGACCCCCAAACCCAAAACTTCAAAACCCCAAAACCCCAGATCCCCGAAGCACCAGAACGCCAAAACCCCAAACACTGAAAGCCTCGATCCTACACCCCAAAACCCCGAAACCCCAAAGCCCCGAAACCCCCAAACCCCCCAAACCCCCAAATCCGAAGCCCCTAAACACTGAAAGCCTCGACCCAGGCCGCGAAAGCCGTGGTTTTGGATCCGGTCGTCTTCGGCACCACCCCTGCGGGGAACTCAGGAGTCACCCTGGTAGTTTGGAGGGACAGGGTTTAGGTTTTAGGGTTTAGGGTTTAGGGTTTTTTGGGTTTGGTTTGAGGGCTTAGGGTTTAGGGTTTAGTTCGTCTTCTTTCGGAACTTTAGGGCTTCGAGAGCTTGCAGGTCTTGTTTAGCCCTAACAGCCCTAACAGCTTGCCTCGACGATTAATGATTAATTAATGGCAGAACTATCCCTGACTCTTCAAGCACGGATCCCAAAGAAGAAGGGCCTCCGTCCGAGCTGGCAACAGCTGGACTTCTATTTGTTTGGTCTTTTTTTGGGGGGAGGGGGTGGGGGGGTTCGCTATGATTTTGTCTCGCAGCAATAGATAATTGCATATGTCTATATGTAGATAGATGTACGCCCATTGATTATGTGATTCTAGTTGTCGTTCGGATGTCAGATGGGGTTCGCAGTTGATAAACAGGGTTTGCCGTTAGAGTCCAAGACGAGGACTTCTAGTGGCACCCGTTTATCCTCTCATGTTCTGTTCTGTCGCAATGTCACACTGTTCAGGCTTCAGTCTCTAGTTTAATGTTTAGGGTTCGGGTTGAGGGTTGAGGGTAGCCCAGAGGTACAGTACCCTTTATGGTTTTGGGTCTCTGAATGGCTTTTTTCAAGGTTAGCTGCCCTTTGTAAGCGGTAAAAACGGTAACCGTTTCGAGTCCCGCCTTGATTGCGAAACCTCGGAGATCAGAGCGTGTCTGTGAGTGATTGTCTCTGTGTCTGTGTCTGTGTCTGTGTCTGTGTCTGTGTCTCTGTGTGTGTGTGTGTGTGTGTGTGTGTGTGTGTGTGTGTGTGTGTGTGTGTGTGTCTGTGTTTGTGTTACCATCAGTCGCGGCTGCCTAAGGTGGAGTGAAATCTTGACAGGCAAGCCCCGGCAAAACCGCAGCACAACGTCTAAATCACCGAGCATATCACTGTTGCGCTGACACTCTGGCAGTTACTTTGGTATAGTTGGGTACCATTTTTCATGTTTAGGGGCACTTAAACCCAATAAGGAATGGACACTTACATGGTTAATATTATGCCAACCATGAACTAGGTTATGGGAGGACTACTGCTGTATGGTGGATGTCTGCAAGCAGATGGGAATACAGCGGCTCAGCCCCATCAACGTACCAACCGAGCAAACAATACACACAACCGAGGGTGGGAGAGGCAGGGAGAGAGAGAGAGAGAGAGAGACAGACAGAGAGAGAGAGAGAGAGAACACGGGTAACTTCCGCATGGCAAAACGACTCAGCAGGTGCGAATGCTGTGCGTAGAATGATGATGACCCTACGCCGGGTGACAAGCCGCGACAACTTGTTGCAGGTTCTAAGTCTTTCAATGTGTAGGGTTTAGAATTTCGGGACATTCTGGCTTAAGGACTTAATCCCTAATTCAGGGATATAGATAGATCGTGCCAAGGCCGATGCGACGCCCGAGGCAGCCTCTCATGCATTCAATGCCAAGCATCTTTTGAGGTTTTAGGGTTTCGGGCTGAGGGTTTGGGGTTCAGGGTTTCGGGCTTGGGGCTGTAGGGCTTTTGGATCCCTGAACTAGGGTTTCCTTAAACTGGAATTGGGATCCGAATATCCCTAAACCCTAACCCCTCAACCATAAACATTGGAGTCTCTTGGTATCCCTTGTTGGGTACCAGATTCTCAATTTTCCGAACTCAAAGTTCGCATACGAGGCTCTTGGTATGAGGGCCGAGCATCAAGCCGCAGGTTCTTTGTGATACGTATCCGCTGGCGCGAGGCGTTGCGTCGACCCTGTGGAGGTTCTTAGGGTTTAGGGTTTAGGGTTTAGGGTTTATGGTTGGAAAGACCACCTAAAGCGTCCAGCCACCACAGTTTGTCAGGGCTTGGAGTCCAGCTTGCACGGCTTAGGACTCATTGGTTCCTCAACCCCATAATCATACAAGTAGGGGCCCCCTTACTATACCAGAGTTCTAACCTACTACCCTTATACCCCTATCTATAACTAGGGGGCTCCTCAAGATGCTTCAACCCCCACATAAAGTGGGTTGTTGTCAAGGAACATAGGAGCAAGTCTCCAGAATCAATAAACTGTTTCGATTGCTTCATGTCCGTCTTAATTTCGTGTAAGCCCAAGCTCAAAACTTCCTAAACCCTAAACCGTAAACCCTAAAACCTAAACCCTAAACCCTAAGCCCAAACTTCCTAAACCAGATGGCCTCCAAGTCCCATGCTCTCTCACTTGGCAGGGCGGGCGCGCGGGAGGCCGCTTGTGGATACAATCATCATGGGGTTACCAGAAAACCCTAAACCCTAAACCCTGAACCCTAAACCCTCAACCCTAAGCAACCCTCAACTCTAAACCCTAAAACCCTAAACCCTAAACCCTAAGCAACCCTAAACCCTAAACTCGCAACCCTAAACTGAACCCTAAACCCTAAAACAAATGTTCCTTAAATAAGGGGTAATTATTGGAGCCTTTGGGCCTGGGGTTGATGTTTTAGTATTGTTGGGTTTATGGCCTCAGTGGCCTCGGGGTGGTAGGGGCTAAGGAGGGTTGTTTTGGGCGTGTCAGGGTGTAGGGGTGCAGGTTTCGGTGTGTGTTTAGGTCATGTTGAAGTGTGGTACTGGTAGCGGCAGAGATCTAGGCTGTCAGCCGAATGCCGGTGACATAAACCCTAAAGCCTAAGCTCGAAACCCGAAACCCAAACCCCCCTGTGTAGGGCTTGAGGGCTTTAGGGATTTCGGCTGTTAGGGGTTGGATCTTCGTCGCCGGGGATCCGCGGGTTTCGGGTCTTAGGGTTTAGGGTTTAGTCGGTTGCAGGCTTCAGGGGTGTTTTTTTTGCTGTGTACTGAGGGACTGGGTAGGTAACCTTTAACCATTTTGGCTATATAGAATCCTACTATATATATATATATGTGTATCTCTGAACGGTTTGCCTTTCGGGCTAGGGTATTTGAAAGGGGGTATGTTTGTGAATACATACAAGCACAACGGGTATACCCCGTTATAAACCCAAACAAATGTGCTTGCAGTTGTGGTAGAGCGGCTTGCCACGAGTGGTCTTTCTTCTTTTGATGTCCGGGGGGAGGGTACAGGACCCTTACAATTAGTCTTAAACCCGAAAAACAACTGTCCAGTTCCTACGGCCCCTTAAAGCCGATTCCAGTCGCGTGCTTCATCTTTTTGGCAGGGAGCATCGTCTCCGTGCAACATGCGACCGACGTCCTGTGATGGACTGCATCATGTCAAGGCGCACTCGGGAGACCCCCTGAACGAGCTGGCGGACGCCGCCAGGAAGCAGCCACATGGCAGCTCATACGGGTTGTCGCCCGCACCTTTGACTACGCAAAGGCAGGTTCCAGGTCCCTCAGTGACCAGGACCTTCCAGGACCTTCTGCCGACCTTCATTTCCAAGTGGCCAAATTCTTAAACCCTTAGCGGAGACCTACGAAAGCCCCAAGCCAATCAGCTAGCCTTAGGTTGAGGGTTGAGGCTCAAACCCTCATGCCATCAAGCGCTATGTGCAAGGGAGGAGAGGGGGGACAAAGGTGTAAGAAACCCCCCTAAACCCTAAACCCTAAACCCTAAACCCTAAACCCTAAACCCTAAACCCTGAGCACCCAAACGCTCACAGCTCCGAACCTAAAACTCTGAAACCCCTAAACCCTGGACTTGGGATGTTCCCCCCTTATACTGACAGTCAGTCCTTAATGGGGATGATCTTACGCCCCCCCCCCCCCCCCCCCCCCCCCCATTTCTTTCTAAATTAAGGACTGTTAGTATAGGGGGGAACATCCCAACCCTGCACTTCTGTGACCCCCTGGTTGCTTTTTGATCACTGCATGAGCGTGGGAAGGTCCGATCATCCTCCAAGCCCACTCGCTGAACTACTTGAATGCAGGCCCTGGGGGGGGGGCTTGGGACCTAGGGGGGGGGGGGGGGGTTTTAAAGGGGTTACCCTAAGCCCTAAACTCCAAACCCTAAACCCTAAACCCTAAACCTTTGTGGGTTGACCGTTTTTTGGGGAGTGTGGGTTTTTGGGTTTTGGGCTTAGAATGGTCCAGGTTTCAGGGCTTGGAGTTTGGGGGGGGGGGGGGGGGGGGAGTTCAGGAGCAAGCCCTAAACCCTAAACCCTAAGACCCAAGTCTTGAACCCTGAAGCCTGCAGGGAGGGGGGTTCGGAGTTAAGGTTTTCTGGTTTACAGGGTTTAGGATTTAGAGCCCAACATTGCAAGCAGCACCTTGGGGTCGTTTAAACGGCCCTATGTGTGGCTTTACGTGCTGTAGCCTAGGTTCGACAAGCGCAGATCTCTAAATTTTGGGTCCCTTTTTGGGGGGGTCCCCGATAATGTAGGTTTAGGGTTGAGGGATAGTACGGCACCCATATCATCAGAACCCAAAATTTTGGGTTCTGATGATATGGGTGCCCTAGTTTAGAGAACTGCCCAACTCGTCCCTGCAACAAAGTTCGGCCAATTGCGAGGGTTGCCAATTCAATGTTATCCTGTAAATCTCGATTCATATACCAACTACCCACGCAAGCATCTTCTCAAGGAGGCCAACGCACAATCAACCCATCGCGCGAAACTTCTGAGTTTTGTAGCTTTGGGGGCCAGACGAGTTCAGGCTTTGTCTACTTCGACGGTCTTAAGGTTTCAGGTCCGCTGCTTTTAAATCACGCGTAAAAGCCGCTTAATCCTTGACCCTAAACCCGAAACCCTAAACCCGAAACCCTAAAGCCGAAGCCCGAAACCCTAAACTTCTCTTGGAGTGTAGAGAGCTGCCAGGATTGTCCGCCATCCAGAAGCACCGCGCCGGGGAGCCGCCACTAGGGATGAGGGCACCGGAGGGGATAACGGGGTTCTAAGGCTTGAAAAGAACCCCTACTGCCCTACACCCCCTGCACCCCAAAGTCCTTGAGACCCAAAGCCCGAGAGCCCTAAACCCTAAACCCTGAACCCTAAACCCTAAACCCTAAACCCTAAACCCTAAACCCTAAACCCTCCTGCCTGCCAGGAGCCATCCGCCCTCTGCATCCTCGAGATGGCCACAGATCGAAGCCAGGCACTTCCGAGAGACATGTTGGGGGTTTCGGGGGTTTAGGGTTTAGGGTTTAGGGTTTAGGGTTTGGGGTTTGGGGTTTGGGGTTTGGGGTTTGGGGTTTGGGGTTTGGGGTTTGGGGTTTGGGAATATCGGAGCTTTCGGGGTTTTAGGGTTTTAGTGGCTTAGAGGTACAGAGTGTTATTTCATTTGTAGCTCTGGGTGTGGCGTGTTTTTTTTTAACCCACAAAACTTCCCCAAGCCACCCCTAAAACCCCTAAACCCGCTGAAACACCCGAAGGCGCAAGATGTTCAAACCCGCCCCTTAAATCCCTAAAAGCCCGAGACCCTTGAACCATCCAAAAACCACGATATTCCAACCCGTAACCGCAAACCCATAAAAACATCTAAAAGCTCCAAGCCACTAACTCTAAGCCCTTGGCTACTTCTTAACGCCAACCCCAAACTCTACACCCCTAAACCACAAAACGACCCTAGCCCCGAAGCCGCAAAACGAACTCAAACCCCAAACTCGAAGCCCCTGAAGAACTACAGACCCTAACCCTGAACCTTGAATCCCTGAAACACCACACAAGAAAAACACTCAAAGCCCCTAAACCAGTCAAAGCCCTAACCCCAAACTCTAAACCCCTGAAGCCACGAAAAACCCGAATCCCAAACTGTATGGGAGGGGCGGTAGGGTTTAGGGGTTAGGGTTTGGGCCCCAATTTCCCCAAATAAGGGCTTACAATCATCCCAGATCAGCCTGAACAAGCCCCAATAAGGGAACATGGGCCTCTTACACCTTCACGGATAGGGTGTAGGGCTTGGAGGGTTTAAGGTCAAGTCTTAGGGTTTAGGGTTTAGGGTTTAGGGTTTAGGGTTTAGGGTTTAGGGTTGAGGGTTTAGGGTTTAGGGTTTAGGGTTTAGGGTTTAGGGTTTAGGGTTTAGGGTTTAGGGTTTAGGGTTTAGTTTAAGGGTTTAGGCCCCTCCCTTCCATCGCCGTCCTTACGAAGTCAGGTGGAGGTCTTGCCACGCTCCCTGGCCAAGGCGAAGGAGGAGGTGGGGTGCCGCATGTTGTTGCTTTGGGTCTTCCCTGGGTTGTGGTGCTTCCTTTCTCAGACTTGTGTGCAGGTGGTGGTCTCGCCGAAATCGGGTTATTTGTGTTGTTTTTGCTTTTGCGTCCTTTTGGCTTTTAGGTGTTGATGGAAGCGTTGGTTGCTGGTTTATGGCTTTTCCTTGCTAGACATTGTTTTGGGGTTCAGGGTGTTACGCGATGTTCTGTGTTTGAAATTGCTCTTCAGCCGTGAACGTGGATAAGACGAAATCTCAGGCCTGATGGAGTACCCAAACCCGGAGAACTATGTCCTAAGTGTTGAGACGCGCAGCGCGGTCCTTGAAAAGCGCACTTGCATTTGGATTATGTCATTGAAGGTTTGGGCTCATGCTGATTTTCGGGCTGAGGGCGGTTTAGCGTCTACAGTCGTCAAGAGCTTCAAGGGACGAAAGGAGGGACCCCTGCCCCCCCCCGCTCCCCAACCCCCCGCTGACCCCCCCCCCCTGCAAGTGGTTCATGGTGGGTTGTTGGTTGCTCCCGGCCCTCCCCTGCGCGTTGTTTAGGGTTAGGCTGTAGAGCTCAGGATTTCACTTTGACCCCCTTGATCCATTGGTTCACGGTGGGTTTAGAGTTTAGGGTTCAAGGTTTGGGGTTTGGGGTAGTGGTAGTGGTTCGTGCTGGGTTGACGTGTCAGGGTTAAAGCGGTTAAGGTTTCGGGCTACCCTTCTCCCCCCTGTGGTTCATTGGTGGGTTTAGGTTACTGATTTAGGTTTCAGGGCTTAGGGTTCAGGTTCAGGGTTTGGGGTTTAGGTTGCGGGTTTCTCTCGCCCCCCCCTGTGGTCCGTGGTGTTTTAGGAACGGGCGGGGGGAGGATTTCCCTTCGGGGGGGGGGGGGGGGGGGGGGGGGGCGGCCCCCATGGCAGGCCCCCCCCCCCCGCCCCCCAACCCCCTAAAACCTAAACCCTAAACCCTGAAGCCTAAACCTAAACCCGAAACCCTAAAACCCTAAACCCTAAACCCAAAAACCAACCCGCCCCGCAACCACGGGGGGTGGTGGGGGGGGGGGGGGGGGGGGGGGGGGGTCGGGGGGACCATTGGGGTGGGGGGGGGGGGGCCGCACCCGCAACATAAATATTATATATATATATACACACATATATGTATGTATGTATATATATATATAGTTATTTATTTATACATACATATATATATATATATGTAGACATAATTGTTCCAGAATTGAACTTTGTTTTATGTACAAACAAGCAACCAAATTCTATGTATGTATATACATATATGTATATATGTCAGATATAAATGTCAATGCGTTGGGCTATATGGCTTCTGCCTTGCAGGGAGGGGGTCTGCGCTCGCCTGGAGCGCCAAATTTATCCCCTATCAGAGGTCAGAGTGATTGAAGCATCACTCAGATGGGGTCAGGGATTTGGGGTCTTAGGTTTAGGGTTTAGAGGCTCTAGGATGACCCTCCAACACAGCGGACTACCCTAAACCAAATACAAACTGCAGTTACAATTACTATTCGAATCATAATTGCAACTAAACTCTGCCCTGAACTAATGAATCCCTGAAACCAGCCTGTCATACATGACTCTCATAATTAGGGTGGGGTGTGTACCCAATCGAAGCCTTGAAGCCCTGGCCATGACTTGGGAAGATGGCTTACCCTAAACCCTAAACACTAACTAAAAAGCCCTAAACCCTAAACCCTAAACTAAAAAACCCTCAGCCCGAAGCCCTAAATAAAAAGACCCTGGCCTTGGCCCGGCAACTCTTCAGGGCTGCAAGGATAGACTGCTGGAAGGGACCCTTCATCTTAAAACCCTCTAGAACGCCTATATATACCATATATATATATATATGTATACATATATATATATACACATGTATACATATATACATATATCTATATGTATACAACATACATATATATATATACATATATATATATATAGGGATGTTCCTCCTCATGCTAACAGTCCTTAGTAGGGAATATAGTACTCCATATTCTAATTCCGATTAAGGACGTTGGTATAAGGGGGATTGGGATATAACCCCTATATGTATATATACATATATACACACACACACACACACCTTACATAGTCCCCATATACCTAAGTAGCCCCTACATTACCCCCGTCTAAGGTCCCTCATATGCGCCCGCGTTCCGGTAATCGACCCCCCCCCCCCCCCCCCGGGGGGTGGCAAACCGAGAACCGGGATCATCTTTATATATATATATATATATATATATGGGTGGTTGTCAAAATTATGGTCCCTTTTTGGATCCCTATTATAATACGGCACCTAATATTTAGGGTACCCCAAAAGGGATCATAATTTTGACAACCACCCATATATATACGTGCACCACATAGGTCCACCACATGTTGAAGCACGCAGGTTCCCGTGAAGCAGGAGGTGAAGAAGAGAGAAGTCTGGGCGTTCGAAACTTCATCTTTCAGGCTATGAGATCAGGAACCCCTAAGTTCTCTGTTTAGGCTTTAGGGTTTAGGGTTTGGGGTTTGGGGTTTGGGGTTTGGGGTTTGGGGGTTTTGGGGTTTTGGGGTTTTGGGGTTTTGGGGTTTAGGGGTTTAGGGGTTTTTGGGTTTAGGGTGATCAGGAACCCCAAGTTCTTTTGGGTTTACTTGCATGGGCTATTTTACCCAAAAAGCCCTTAACAAGGCCCTTTATAGGGTTGGTTAGGGGGACTTTTGTTATACCCTATAAGCCCTTAAAAGGCAATTTATAGGGTTGGTTAGGGGGATGGCTCCAGTTACGCGTCTTATTCTTCTTCAGATCATTGCGCCTTCCTTTTCATTCGCAAGAAGGGTCAGAGTTACTTGCAAGTAGGGGGGCCTTTCAGTACGCTGTGTTCTGATCGTGGTACTCTTTGGTGTATAGTATGCGCAATTTTCAGTACCCAAGAACCTTCAGTTCTGGTCTTTCAAGCCGGGGTTGGCGGTTGGCAGGCAGCTGCCTAAGACATGTGTCATACACTCCTCGAACCTCCTACACCGCCAAAAGTGACATCGCGTATTCCGCCTGGAGACCCCCTTAAAGTGGCCCGTGACAGTGGCCTGAAGGGTTTAGGGTTTAGGGTTTAGGGTTTAGTAGGGTTTAGGGTTTAGGGCTACAAGAGGCCACTAGCATGGGTAGAAGTAGTTCAGGTGATGACAAAGTGTACTTTACTTGAG